AAGATCATAACCTTCGTAATTTAGAGACAACCCTCGTCCACCTAGTTACGTTCCTTGGTCAGTGCCGCTACAACTCACTAATCTCGCCATCTCGACAATTGCCCACCCAAATGTACATGGTCGAGGCTGTCCGTGACGGCATAACTCTGCAACAATCCCTCCTTGCCGACTGCAAACCAATTCAAACATGTTGAGGTTAGTTTTTGCATCCCTAATATTTGTATGATACAGAAAAAATGATTTCGTTTGTTAAATCAAAAGCCTTGAAGAAAATATACAGTTTAAATTGTTAAAAAAAAAATCACAGTTTAAATCCAGTATAGAATTGGAGTGAAACAGACAGATACAACTAGGGGTGTGCAATATACCCGAAAACCCATCAACCCGTCCAAACCTGTCCTACCCGTTTATAAACGGGTCAACCCATACCCGTTTAGTGAGGGAAGGAAAATGGGTATGGGCGGGTAATACCCGTATAAGTATAAACGGGCGGGTAACGGGTTAACCCTTGGGTGGCCCATACCCACCCGTATATATATTATATTTTTTTTGGCAAACTTCAGTCCAGTGGTCTGCTAGTGCAACTGCTATTGTCCACAGTGATCCAGTCCAAGCTCTAGAGTCAGATCAGAACCCACGCCTTGTGACCTCGTCCAGTTGTCCAAAACCCCAAATCAATCCAGTCTTAAGCTCCCCAAATCAATTTTCTTATGTTGAAGTTGCTTTTAAACATTTTATTGGTGATTACACGAAGAGGGAAATGATAAAAAAGAAGATTATGGGGTTTTTGCATCGCTTGTTTGATGAGTACTCTACAACTCTTACAGCTAGTGGTAGTGAACCATCTGAAATTGGTATAGAGATGGGGGATAGTAGTGCCAGTGGTGGAGGGAAGCAAGTTCCTCTATCTTCTAAAAAAATTATTGATGTGGCAATGCAAGATTTTTTAGCCACTACAATGAGTAAGCGTCCAAAGAAACCAATTTCAGAGGTGGAAGAGTACTTAAATGCAGAGTTAGTTGATGCTTGTGATGATAGTTTTGATATTTTGGCATGGTGGAAAGTGAATTCTTCCAAGTATAAAGTTCTAGGTTTGATTGCACGTGATTTGTTAGCTATGCCTGTCTCCACAGTGTCTTCGGAATCTGCTTTTAGTACTGGGGGTCGAGTACTAGATACTTTCAAGAGTTCCTTATCTTCAAAAATGGCTGAGGCACTCATTTGCACACAGAATTGGCTATCATCAACATCATGCACCCCATTGGAAGAGATTAATATTGATTATTTTGATGAGACTTTACATGCTGTTAATGGTAATAATAATATGAATAAGTTATTTTAATTATATTCATTTTAATTCTCCATATTATATAATATATATTATTATTTACTAATCTAATTGTTTTAATTTGTCTTGTACAGGAAAAGTCAATAGCTCAATCTTCTGCTGTATCAAGTGACTCTGAAGAAGATAAATGAGGATTGATGAGACTGGGTTTTCACTTTAAAAATTAGAATTATTGATCCTTGTTTATTTAGTATTTGTTGTTAAAATATTTATCCTTATATTATTCAGAGATTTAAACTTTTAGAATGATGCTACTTGAGCACTTATGTTAAGTTCTAGTGGAATGAAAATTATATGTTTTGACTCTTTTTTTTTTAAAAAAATGGGTGTTGTGGGTAAACGGGTGACCCAGGCCCGCCCAGACCCGTTTGCACCCATTTAAAAATGGGTACAAACGGGTATAAGCGGGTACGGGCGGGTGGCCACCCATTTACCCATAAACGGGCGGGTAACGGGTACAGTCACGGGTGGACCGTACTCGCCGGTTTACACCCCTAGATACAACATAAAAGTTTTAATCAGTTGACTAAGACACTGCTATTGTATTTGCATCAAAACCTATTCTGATGCTACTACACGTCATATTATACGTCTTGACACTTATTAGTATCTAAAGCAACAAAAAAAGCGTCCCAAGTCTTCTCTGATAAGAAGAATGAATGGGAATAACCATAATTGACGTCTGAATATACACGTTATATATCATACAGCATGCACCAGTTAGTTAATTAGTTTGTTATGAGAATTCCTACCTTTTGCCATCGAAGAGGATCTGGTCTTTTGAGAACCACGACGGTATCAACTTTCTGGGGCGAGTCCATTTTCCAACGACAGAAAGAAGGCTTAGAGTTATGACGAAAATAAGTGCCAATGATCTGCCTCCTTGCGGAGTCATATCGAGTCTTGCTTGCGTAGAAGACGAAGGGCCTTTGACAAGGGTGTCTGAAGACGGGCCTGGTGTTGAAGGTATAAGCAGTGTAATCAGCTCTTCTGTACCAATTAAGAAAGGTTCTTGAGGGCATCTCTAGTTCCCTCGGGGATATTATGCCCCTCCACAGTTGAACCACGTAACCCCACGACACTGAGATGGACCAGTATTTGTTCTTGTCGTAGCAGATCGATTGTTGCATGATGCTTGCTGAGTCGTGTTTCACAGATTCCATCAGGCGCTGTATGGCTCGCACTCGACTCACTCGGGGGAATATTGGCTCCACCACGTCTAGGTGGTGCAGTGTCACTAGAGGAGCCACTGGATGTGACCCCAGCAGCCCTAATAGGTCTCCGTACACATCATACTGCGTGCATCATAATGAACACCACATCAATTCATTTCACGTCTAAACTACATTGATAAGAAGATTTAATTTTCAGGGGCAGCTATCTACCTGATGAAACCCGGCTTCCTTGGTGAGGGGGACCCCAAGCTCAGCCATGCAAGCTTGAATTCTGTCATCACTGCCGTACAGATTGGGGTATCTCTGGATGCAACGGTCCTGCATCCTGGAGAGCTCCATGGCCAATGGATAGCTGATGGCGAATCCACCCCCTCCGTATGCCATCGCGTACGAGAAATGTATGTTTTGAACATGACTCTCCGACGAGCTCCCTACATAGTAATACTGCCTATGGTCGTACTTGGACAGTATTCTCACCACGTTGTCCACCACAAACACCGTGTCGTCGTCTCCCATCACGAACCACCTCACATCCTTCATCCTCAGCTTCAGTGTCTCCGACACCACCCTCGATATCCTCAACGCCGACCTGTCTCCCTGACGAGATTTCGTTTCATGCATATATCAGCATTGGTTAATGTATATATGCGCACACACATTGGATAATTACGCTCGTGTTGTACTGGATCAAAAGATTAAATAAATCCATAATCACCTGAGGGTTCCTGTATTTGAATCTGGACGTGTCTGCAGAGATTCGAATTATCGGTAATCCTTCGTTCCTTCGGACTCTGACGCGTTTATCCAGCCATACAACTCCTCTAGTTTCGCCTGGCCGCCACCACGTCTTTATGTATTCTTTCCTATTATTCCACAGATTGGAGGAAGCTGCTATGCCGAAAACGACGTGTTTCAGCTCGGTGGGTAGAATGCGAGGTGTTTCGGGGGGTAACTGGGCTACGATTTGCTCTGTATCAACGTCTTCTGGTTCTTCGTCCTCTGTTTTTTCTTCGTTATAGATTGTGGTGTTTGAGATCTGAAGAAGGTTTTGGGAGGTAGCCAGGTCTACATTGTTAGGACACTCTGGCTTGTCGAAGGGGGAGACAAAGAGGTCGGAAGAGTGGAGAAAATAGAGCATGATGACGATAACTGCGAGCCATGTGATAACACTCTTGGAGCTAGAGCCAGAGCCAGAGCCAGAGCCACTATGGTTATGGTGCATGATGCGTTGCTGTGCAGAGTATATTGATTCTTGAGTGTCCTGTTCTGTTTTCTTGAGGTTGTCTGTCAGGAATACTGGACAACTGTTTGCTCGGGAGGGAGTTTGTACTGAGAATTTTTCGGATCAGAGAGAGTTTGAATTTTGGTTTTGCATTTAATCATTTGTTGAAGTGAGGTTTGTTGTAGAGGGAAGCGAAGTTAAATGCTATTAAGATGGAAGGGAGGTTGAAAATTGTTAGTTGCCCAGACGGAGTTTTATTTGGATATGGCAGCCTAAACCCTAAATTGCAATCAACCTTAACCTTTAAGTTTAAACCAAATCATCGGCCAGATGATAGTGATTTGGGCCTACTTTGGGAACTTCCTTTATTGAAACAAAGATCAGAACATGTTGTTGGGCCTTAAAAAATCAGCACATTGAGTTGAAAAAGAATAAAGTATTTTAGCCAAAAAAGTAGAAGAATAAAGTACTAAGTAGATCACGCAGTCCAATTATAAAAATGGATCTGTTCAGGCGAGTTTTATTATCAGATATAAAATGCTAAATGATGTGAACGTATAAATCTACTTGCAATGGTCGCACACTCACATCTCCTGAGCTGTAATCCCATGAAGACTAACTTCTGAAGTGAAAATTGTTGTCACATCTGCCTTCATTCTAACACAGATTCTGATTTGTGTGTCTGAGTCTGAACGCGGATGTAGTTGGTTACACCTGTAACTGGCTACTGTTAAGTGCCACGACAACTTAACCAAACCATCGATTAGGTTTCGGTTCTCTGAATTCTATAACATCCCAACCAATGGAAAGTCAAGACATCAAGGAGTGTGATTTGACCCAAAAGTTTAAGCTGTGATTATTAGATCATGGAGATCGACGACATCCTTTGAACGAGCTTGAACCCCTTGAACTTGCTTTTGTCTTCGGGACCATCGACATTCGACAGTGACCTCAAAAGAAGCGGATTAGCACCAATCCTGATCACAAATCATAATAAAATAACCAAGAAAGTTAAAGAGCCAATTCTTTCCTCTCAATATGGGCTTGGAGTGAGGACAAAGAAAATGTTTCTGCACTTATATTTTTTTTAATTAATTAACTTCATTTGTTCAACCTTTGTAAGTTCATTCAAGTTTAAAACTTTTTTTTTTTTAAGGCAGACGTGTTTAGGCGATATTTTGTACGGATATGCAATAATTTGACGGGCCATTGGAGTCTGCTTTTCTTCTGGTCAAAGGACTGAGCTCTTGCATATTACTATTATTTTCTGTTTTTGCCAAATTATGTTGGCGCTGGTAAACAAGTTTGTTTGTTAAACTGTGATGAAAATATGAAAGTTTAAAGAGGCAGTCTTGTTCTATGATTGGCGTCGTAAATGTTCGGCTCTTGTTACGGTTGAGCTTTACTTCACTAGAGATGTGTTTCATATCTTCTATCCTTACCCTCCCTCCTGCAGCCACTAACGCTACATTGTTGGATTCTCTCGCCCGTGTCTCTGCTTTCTCTCCCAATCTAATCCCCCGGCATTTTTCGGAATTCTTATTTCCACTTGAATTTCTCTTCCATTTTTATTTTCTCTCTGGGTGCTCAAGAAATCTCACTGCAAGGTTCTTGCATTCGCATTTCACAGCTCTGTGAAGGCGCGCAGGGCTTCAATGGCGAGCGAACATGCACTCACAGCCAGAGAGGTCTCAGCCATGATAAAGCAGGGTTTCATATCAGATCCAGCTCTCTCTTTTTCGCCCTCCAGGACTATCTCTATGGTGTATTCCCCTTCATCCTCACCCTCCAAGACCTTCTCTTCGCCGCCACCCCCTTTCTCTGCATCGCCTCAGTCCCAAACCCCAACTCAGATGCAGGCTCGACCTGCTCAGAGCCAAACCCTTTACGAAATGATGTCGGAAGAGCAAAATCGCGAATCGAAGCTACCCGATGATAAGCGTCGGAAGCTGCAAGATCGGGTGTCGAAGCTTCTGGATGAAGCGCCGTTTCGAGACCCTAATTGGGGAGGACCTGGGGATCTGAGGCTTACGGTTGTTTCGAGAGACGGGTTTAAGGCTTCCATGGACGTTCACAAGAGCGTGCTCACAGAGAAGAGCAGATTCTTCGCCGAGAAGCTTCGATGTGATCGTGGGGTCTCGCACTCGGTGGAGATCAGCGACTGTGATGATGTGGAGGTGTATGTTGAAACTGTGGTATTGATGTACTGTGAGGATTTGAAGAGGAGGTTGATGGGTGAGGGGGTTTCTAAGGTTTTGAGTTTGCTCAAGGTAAATGCTTCATCTGCTTCCTTTGGTCTATCCATCTTTATTTACTTAGCACAAATGCTTCGAAAAACTTTGGTTTCCTTTCCGAATCAGTGCATTGACTTTGAAGTACACGCTCATTGTCATTTTCAGTTGAATAATGCTGGTCTTGGTTAGCTTAGGGTAATGGATAACAGCTTAATTACTCAAGGATGTTCATAACTAATATATATCTGGGAACATTCCGTCTGGTTTTTGATCAGTGATATTCCGCGAATTGATGGCGCTTCTCTTTATGATTAGCTCTGCAGACTACATTTTCCTAACAAGCTAATCTAGGAAATTGAAATCCCATTTACCAACCCAAAAGCGCGCACACACGGGGTCACATTATCTACAACTTAAAGGCACACACGCTAATCTTGATGTTAAGCATCCAATCTCCTTTTCCCTTAAATTTCTACCCTATTCAGTGGGTCAGTCTGCCTTGTGTGCTTGCTGAAAGATATCCCTCCTCATCTTCTGAATCTCATCAATATTTTGCGAAAAGGCAACCCTGAGAGTGACTTGTTCACTTTTTATCCTTATTTTTCATCTTTTTATTATCTATTTTTTGTTTTATAGGCTTGTGACTATTTATTTTCTAATATTAGCTTACCTTTTGTTGTAGGTATCGGCAGCTATCATGTTTGACCTAGGTGTTATGTCATGCGTAGAGTATTTAGAAGCCGTTCCTTGGTCTGAAGATGAGGAGGCAGACGTCATATCTCAGATAGATCATCTCCAGCTTCATGACCCTGGAACTGAAGTTCTTCTCAGAGTATTATCTGATCCATCTACTTCCGTCAGAGCCGATGACATCTTTGTGAGCCTGATGAGTGGTGTTCTGCAAGCAAAAGATGACAAAGCTCGCAGGGAAATGAAAACTCTCATATCTCGTTTGCTTAAAGAAGCATCAGATGATAGCAGCAGACTCGATGTTTCTAAAGACACGCTCTATCATCTTTGCCATAGATGCCTTAGTTCTCTTGTGCTGTGCTTATCTGAAGCTACAAGCATGGACGAGAATCAAAATCGAGGAGTTTTAATGAGTGAAATTACTCGTGAAGCAGACAATATTCAGTGGATCGTTGACATTTTAATCGGTAAGAAAATGGGTGATGACTTTGTCAAAATATGGGCAGATCAGAAAGAGCTTGCTACGCTTCATTCAAAAATTCCAACCATCTACCGCCATGAGATCAGTAGGATCACAGCTCAACTGTGTATTGCCATTGGAAGGGGACACGTGCTGGTGCCAAAAGAAACGAGATTTTCCTTATTGTCGACATGGCTAGAAGCTCTGTATGAGGACTTTGGATGGATAAGGAGATCTTCCAGAGCTGTTGATAGGAAGTTGGTGGAGGACGGATTAAGCCAAACCATACTCACATTGCCTTTACTTCAACAGCAGGCTGTGTTACTCAATTGGTTTGATCGCTTTCTTAACAAAGGAGATGACTGTCCCAATATTCAGAAGGCGTTTGAGATTTGGTGGAGAAGGGCTTTCATCAGACAATATTCAGCTGAGCAGGATGATTCCCAGTTGCAAATAAGTATTTGTGAATACCCTACCTGAAAGGTATGCTAAAACTTCTAAATAACTGAAAATAATAAGAAATTTTAATCATCTTTGTACATAACTAGTGACTCTTCCACACTCTTAGCTTCTGCTGTCTTCGGCTTTGTTCAAATTTGGTTTGGCATTTTTTTGCCCTGTGACATAGTCAAGACAAATTTAAGGGTAGACGAACTGGAAATACTGAGGAAACGAATGGGGCAACAAATGGAGTGGCGTTGCCGTTGCTGCTCTCTCGTTGAATTGTTAATTGTTATCAACATCGCCATGGATGACCCTCCCTTCTTAACCTATTGAGCTCTAAATTTTATCGGTATTTTTTTATTTTCTGCCAAACTTTTGTACGCGCGAGTGAAAAGTACTTTAGAAGGCCATTACGTTTTATACGATGTTTCAAACGCGATTTGTTTTGGTTAAAGGCTCAAGCTCACCCTAGTATATCATTACAAATTCTCGAGTTTTAAATCAATGATTTAGAATTTTCCGATGGGCCAAGATTTTACTTTAACATGCTTTCAGACACATCTCATTTGTAGTTATTTTGTTTGAGAAATTTTTTTTATTCAAGTGTTTTTACTGCATAATCAGTTCTTGTCTTCAAATAAAAATTGTGAAAATTCTTAAATTGTGCTTCACTCAGTACAATGTTTTACAAATTAGACTAAATTGTGTGAAATTTTAGATGAGTTATCAAATAGTAATTTTATAAATTCTATGACAATAATCAATATCAATACTATTATACTAATATGTGTCGCACATAACCTGTGAGAAGCTACTTGTACGAGTCAAATGTTGTGATTTATTTTTCACACCATACTCCGTGTATTGTACAATATCAACCTATTTGTTACATATACTGATGTTGATGTTAGGTCATAGGTTTATTCCCCAGTTAGATTTGAGCTCACTGGCCTGATCTGATTTCAACACAGAAATATTTTCGGTGCACGTACAATTTTTTTTTTTTTTTAACAACCGTCAAAACATTACACATTAGGAACAGTTCATTTCTATTTTTCACGGCCTTCTCAGTAGGAGCGATTGTTGACCAAGAAAAAGGCAGGGAACATTTGGCTATTCTCCTGTGCAAAATGGGTTACATATCAAATTGTTGCAGTGCGCGACTATTAAGCTGGAAACAGCATTGGTTGCAGATTGTCATGTCTCTTATCAAAAAGATTTGAAAAAAATTCTGACTATATAAGTGGATGTATTGCACACTTTAATGAATTAGCTTTTTAGGAAAAAAATAATGACCCTTTGACAAAATGATATCAAAGTTAAACTTAAATTTAGGGCTGCACAAAAGACTGTATGGGATTGGACTTTAGCCTAACCCGGAGTCTGGTCCTTTTCATAAAAAGGATTGGCATAGGTAACCCGTAATTCGGTTTGATCTTGTGAAAACTCGAAAATTAACAAGACTGGACTTGGTCCATAAGACTGGGAAACTGGTCCTGTTAGTTCAATACTCAGTTGGTCTTTTTTTTTTCTCTATAATGACTAATAATCTATTTCAACTTAACAAATTCAATTAAGATAATAAAAACACTTATAATCATAATAAATTCATAATAATTTCTAAAACCAAGAAAATAATATTTTAGTTACAATCTAAACTCTAAATGATTTAAATACATAACTTCAATAAAAAATCAGAGGAAAGACCGAAAATAGACCAGAGGAAAAAAATCAGCAAGAACAGAAGTAATAAAAATCAGCCCACAAACATGTTCCTTCAAAGTTTGAACAGATCAAGATCAGAGTGCAAAGTGCAAGGTAGGGGCTAGGGCTTTGGCGCATTGAAGAAATTGAGAATGAGAGCAAAGTTGAGTGAGTGGCTGAGACGCTAAGTGCTGTTGAGTGACAGTGTTGAGGTTTTTTTTTTCGATCAGAGTGCAAAGTGCAAGGCAAGATTAAGACTTTTTTTCTAAGGCTTATTAATTAATAATTTATAAATTAATTTTAATTATATTAAAATAATTATATAGCACCAAACCGGACCACTTAATCCAGATGCTTGGTCTCTAGTCTGGTCTTACCCAAAAAATCAATCATGTCTTTTTGATCCTATAGAACCAGTATTTTACAGGACTGGACAGGACCGAATTTTCATGGGTCAGATCGGACCAAACGAGACCACGAAACTTTTACACAGCCCTACTTAAATCTATCCAATCAGTGGGCTCTCATAGTGGGCTACTCGTGATGGGAGCATTATGGATTAGCTAGGATAGCTGTCATGTCTCTCATCAGAGGAACTTGGTAAAGGTCTCAACTATATAAATGAGTAAATTGTATGCCTCAATGAACTAGATTTTTGGAGATAGAATAATGACTTCATGACAAGACACTATAATTTGACCATCCAAACAGGGCACATCAACCTTTTATTATCGGGCTTAGAATTGAGATTTGAGTTTTTCTCATTACAATGCTCGTTACAATTGTATTCCCCTCCTATGGAATTTTAATGCATGGATGGAAAGGCAAAAAGGGGCACGGTGATTTCACAATTTAAATGGGAAAAACTTATTTTTTGGCAGATTGGAGCCAGAATTGCTTTTTTTTTTTATTTTAATAAATCCAGAATTTTCTATTTGGCTTGAATGAATTTTAAGGGAAATAAGAATAAGAATGGAATGGGAAGGAAATAGAGGTGAGAATGAGTTTTAAATACATGACTAGACGGAGATGCTGCGATTCTGATCCAGACATGATGAACAGAAAACACTAGGAGAGAGAACGACTTCAGAACCCGCAATTCTAACCTCTAGACCTTGGCTGTCAACGTTGAAGAAGTTAAAGCCAAGAATGACCTTTGAAATGATCCACGAGATCTGCCGTCAAATCCTAGTCATTACTTGGTGTCTGCCTTGCCTCACTGTCTCTTGCCGTCCGCTGAGAAGGAAGGTGTAAGCATCAATGAAGTGGGGAAGATGAATGATTGGGAAAGCTGAAACCAAGGGTATCTTTGTCAGAAAACGTTGTTCCTAAGCATTGATCTTTATTTCCACCTCCCCCTTGGGTTTCACCAATCCATTCAACTGGGTTTTACCAATACTAAGTAAATAAGTAATGCGATGTAGCAAACACGCTACAAAATTCATTCCTTCAACCATTCCCCGTCCCTATAGCCCATTCCCTCCTAACAAACAGGTACTTCACTATCTTCGTCCATTCAGGAGAAATGAGCAGTGCCACGAAATTAGCTGAACTTAAATAAGCACAAAACGTAATGCTCCATTTTCCTGGTCCCAAAATTAGGAAATCCTCCCATTTATTTCCTTCTTTCTTCGTATTATCATTATCTTTATAATCATATAATCAAATTTCAATCTTTCTTAACAAAGAATCAGCTATATGCGACCTTCACCTCGAGTCAGTCTAATTTCACAAAATTGAATGCATATGGTGCATTTGGAGGATTAAAAGCAAAGTAAAGGTGGTTACAAAATGTTAACCCTCTATACAGTTATATTCTCTCGTGTCACACTCAGTCCCGACATGACTGGCAATGATCTATTTCCTTACCTTTTCCACCAATTCAGCTATTTTAGATGCCAAATTCAGCGAAGGGGCATGATGTTCTCATGCCTTGAAATTTCTCCATCTCTATATAAACGTTAGCCATGGAAAGAGTCCGTAATTTCTTCAAGAACAAGAACAAGCAGGCACGCCAAAAAGTGAATTTCTAAACCTTCCCAGCACTCTGCACCGGATGATCCACATCTTCGGAGCAACCATGCAACTATTAACTCAAGACAGAATAGGATCAGCACCTTGAGACAGTGCCGGAGGATCCAACCTGTAAAAGAGTTAAATAACAGCATATGTTATAATTTTTGTTGCAGCTAAAATATCATTAAACCCATAACAAGTTTATAAAAATTCTTGGCCACAGCTGACAAAAGTAGTTTTGGGTTGTGCCCAAAATCCCCCCCTCCCCCAGACAACCAAAAAAAAAAAAAAAAACGAGTTACTTTATCAAGTCATTATGAGCAATTGATCAAGGATGGGATTCGATTCAATTATGGAGAAGTTTTGCGCATTATAGTTAAGTACCATGAATAACTCGTAACTGACTAAGCGAGCACTCTTGCTTCAAAATTGCATATATTTTTCCCACCAAGAAATTATGTCTGCAGATGAAATTATGCATGCATGCACGACAGAGGCCCGCCTTGAAAACCCAGTAGCACAAGTAACTCGTTTACAGGCACTGTATTCATTTCTCACCTTTGTTTGACTTTGATCATTCCAGTGCCTATCTGAATTGGTATGCCCATGATTATGCACTCAGTTACTCCTTCAATCTGATCATCCCTCCCATGCACAGAAGCATTGAAAAGGTGATCTGCGGTCTTCTCGAATGATGCTAGCATTAATACACTCTTGTCCATCTTTTGGATTCCAAATCTTGTTATTCCAAGGACTTCGCCCTATTTTTGAAAATCCGTTTCGTAAGTTTAAACCTAATATGTCTTTTGAAATCAGAGGTTCAGTCATAGCTTGTTACAATTTTCAAATGACTCACCCGGAAGGTCATCACATCGGCCAAAAGCATCATATGGCGTGCATCTATGCTCATTCCATGGCTTCCCATTGTAAACTTTATCTCTTCAATGATGCACTTTCTAGCTGCTTCAATTCCTAGAGTCTGCTCAACTTCAATGATATGATTACTAAGAGTTTTACGTCCATCAACCCCTTCAATGCCCATAACCTCTTGGAGGCCCGTGCTGGAAAAAGAGAACAAAATACATGTAAATTAAGACATATTTGTCAACAACATAAGCAACGTATTGCAAGTTATATCTCAGCAGAATACTAATATCATGAAATCTTATATTTTTTTCCTATCATCTTTGTTTTATTTAAGCAACTCAAACAGAAAAATTACAACTAGAAAAACAAACTCACAAAAATGGAAAACTCTATTCTTACAACTATTGAGTTATTAGTTGCAATTCACTCTTGGATCTCTATGGAATGTTAACCCAAAAAAAAAATCTAGAATAAACTCAATAAAGTAGAAGGCAATGAAGAGAACAAATGGCAAATGCAAGTGGGCTGGAACTTAAAATATAAAATGTCCAGGACTGGGCCATAAGGATGTTCGGCAGCCAATTTTAGATAAATTGTCTACAGCAGAGTCAGTTCATAAAAGTTAGTTTGTAAAATTCATTGTGGGTAAGTAAAAGTTCCTTTCTTGACAACCTCATAATCTAATGGGCACCAAAGTGAGGTGGAAAACTCTCTCGCAAGATCAAACTATTGAAGTAGAAGAACCATCCCAATTAAGTACCCCATGAAACATT